CCTGCTGCGCCGTGAACGCGTGTTCGTTCCCACAGGCGCTCGCGCGCACCTGTGCCTGCTGCGCCGTGAACGCGTGTTCGTTCCCACAGGCGTTCACGCGCACCTGTGCCTGCTGCGCCGTGAACGCGTGCTCATTCCCACAGGCGTTTGCGCGCACCTGTGCCTGCTGCGCCACGCAGGGTCTGAGCTGACAGCCCTGCGGACTAAACCTGCCCTCAAAGGGCTGATCCTCTACTGAGACGGAACAAGCAAGCCATACACAGCATGATGTCCAGTAGCAGAATATGCTATAAAGAAACAATATAAGAAGATAGAGAGAAGTAAAAGCAAGGCGGGAGGAAGGAGATGACACTTGAGCAGAAGCTCAATGATGTGCTGTATTACAGACCCCTGTGGGGAGAGTATTCCAGGCAGAGGGAACACCAGGTGTGACAAGCTGGTGGCTGGACTGAGCTTGTGGTCAGTTTCTGGGATGTAGCAGTGTAAACAACAGGGAGTGACTGGTGCCAAGGTCAGAGGGGAGGCCAAAGCCAGCAGATCATATGGGCTCTTAGAGACGAGAGTAAGGAGTTTGCTTCTTCAGTTAAACTGGGAAGCTACTGAGAGTCTCACTGAGGGTAAACATGCTGTGGCCTGCCTGCCCTCTGGCTCCTACTGAGGAGTGGACTCTGGGGGGGATAGAGGTGAGGAGCTGGCAAGAGCTAAAGCAGGAGACAGGGTAGGGACTCTTGTGACAATAAACGCAGGTCAGAGAGGATGGTGGTGACTTGGACCAGGGCCACAGCCATGGAGTTGAAGACAGTGGGCAGATTTGGATTCTGTTTTGGGGTATCGCACAATGTATCAAAAAGCTGGACATTTTTGAGAGTGAAAGCACAGACAGTATAATAATTACTAATCCAGGCCTGTCCTGGGTCAAAGAGGATATACCATCACCCTACCTATTAGACATCAGTTCAGTTTGAAAAGGCATTTTACGACAGTATCTTCTTTTGAGCATTGTAACACTGTCTTCAACCAAGATTAAATAGATTAATCTTCAACCAAGATTAAAATAGTACCAGATCTTGGCTGAATCCAAACTCAAAATGGTGCTGCATCTTCTGGAATGGGAAAGAAGATCTTAAAGCTGGCACTTCATGCTAAAAAGTAAGCTCTGCTAATTTTCAGGTACATCCTGAATACTTAAAAATTTAGTAAGGGGTGGCACTTGTGGCTCAAAGGAGCAGGGCACCAGCCCCATATACTGGAGGTGGCAGATCCAAACCCAGTCCAGCCAAAAAAAGAAAAAAAAATTTAGTAAGTAAATACATATTATTAATTTTCCTTAAATTTTACAGTGAACCTAAAAATCCTTTCACACCATATTTTAATCCCACGCATATTTCACATTCTTTTTTTTTTTTTTGAGACGGAGCCTCAAGCTATCCCCCTGGGTAGAGTGCCATGGCATCACGCTCACAGCAACCTCCAACTCCTGGGCTCAAGCGAGTCTCCTGCCTCAGCCTCCCAAGTAGCTGGGACTATAGGCGCCCGCCACAATGCCTGGCCATTTTTTGGTTGCAGCCATCGTTGTTTGGCAGCCCCGGGCTGGGGATTCGAACCCGCCACGTTAGGTGTATGTGGCTGGCGCCTTAGCCGCTTAAGCCACAGGTGCCAAGCCCACATTCTTCTTTAGAAGGTACCTTGGCGATTGGATTCTTTTTGGACAGATCTTCTCCCTCCCGAAGAGCCACGGGGACCGTGATCCAGGCCCGCTTCTGCCGCACTAAGTGAGCCCGCTGAGGAGGTGACTTATTTTCATTTCTTGTGTTTAAGGCCTACAACAATAAAATATTGCCCCCCAAATTACTGTGTATCATAAACATAAAACATTAGTATGGTAGCCTATAATCTGCTCAACTTTAAAAACAGTGCAAATTTTAAGGTAGGTTTCATATTTCTTATCAAGTTTCATTTGCAAAGAGGAAAATATAAGCATTTTAGCACACTCTGTAGGTGTTCCAGAGAATGTCTCCAAACCAGTAAAGCGGGAGGGTTTTGTCTTGAACAGTAAAGAAATGTTTCCCAGGGTGAAGAGTTTAAAAGGCTCAAGAGAAATTTAGTGCCCTAACGTACTGGCAAATGAAAAATAACAGACCATGTCAAAAATTTTCTTAACTAATTAAAAGTGAAATTTTAATTACTGTGGTTGTTGATGGTTTAAAAATGAATTATCAAATGTTTTAAGACTCAATCTTAGTAACCTGTTGATAGAAATTTGACAAAAACTGGTACAGTTGCCAGTTAATAAATGTATTGTTTTCAGGATTGGGTAAAGGGTTACATTTACAATCTCTTCTTTATATAACCTTGTGAAAAGTAGTCTATAAAACTATTGGCTGGATTATATAAGTACATATATATTTTATCCAAGGAAAACTTCAATACAGCTGACCTAGCATTTTAAGATTAGCCATGATTATTATACTGGGTTTATTATTTTAATCAATTTGTTGTTTACATATTTTTAAAATTTCAGAATATTTACTCTGGTTATACTAGGTTATTCGTTGTTTTTCCTTTTCCTTCCTTTCTTTTTTTTTTACTAAGCTACAGGCCTGACTATGTTGTCCAGGCTGGAGTGCACAGTGGCTATTCATAGGTGCAATCATAGCGCATCACAGCCTTGAACTCCTGGGCTCAAGCAATATTCCTGCCTGCCTCCTGAGCAGCTGGAACTGTACATGCATGCCACCATGCCCAGCAGCTTTGTTTTTATTTGAAAAACGTTTTCTATAACTTTAAATAAATTTAAGTTATATAACAAAACCTTACCAATGATAACATTAAAATTTGTGAAATAAAAATAGAAAACTTCTATTTTTTCACTCGTACTTATTTCAGAGTTCACTGTTAGAGGAGAGGCTTGATGATTATCTTCTCTCATCTTAACTATACATTTACACATGTATACATACACATATGAAGATCTTTTTCCTACAACATGGACTTACACTATATATCTTGTTCTGTCTACTTCTTGATTTTTTTTTAGGACATCATCATGCCCATTCTTTCCTATACTACAAATGGTTTTAACATTCTGTTGGCAAACATTCAGTTTGTCAAAAATACTGCAATGAACATCCATGGATATATTCCTCTGTGCTTATTTGAATGAAACTGCTGGGTACAAGGTAATATGTGTTTTTAATGTGGCAAAGCATGGCCAACCTGAGCACCATTAAATGAAGCCTCTGAGTCCAAATTATAGAAATAACACCCTTGGCTTCTTACCTCAAAGTGAAGTCCATTCCCAAAGGTAAAGCAGATCTGTAAAACAAAATTATTTAGTTGATGTTTAATACAAGCTGTCATTCAATTCAGTTGAAAATCATTGTGAATGAACAACCCCTTCTTAAATATTATAGATGCTTTTTTTTTCCAGTTGTCTTTTGTTACCAATTTTTTTTTTTTTTTATTAAATCATAGCTGTGTACATTAATGCAATCATGGGATACAGTGTGCTGGTTTTACATACAATTTGAAATACTTTCACCAAACTGGTTAACATAGCCTTCAAGGCATTTTCTTAGTTATTGTGTTAAGACATTTATATTCTACATTTAGAAAGATTCACATGTACCCTTATAAGATGGACCATAGGTGTGGTCCCACTAATCACCCTCCTTTCACCCATCCTCTCCCCTTCTTTCCCCTCCCATCCGTCTCCCCCTTCTCTATAGATGCTTTCTTAAGAAAAAAGGTTTAACCACCACTATCTTTGGTCAAAAGAAACAAATTTTAATTTTCATCTTTGCCTCCCCCCAGCACCCACAGCCGGAGGAAGAATCTGCATTCTCCTTGATCCACACTGCCTCTTCCAGAAAACAACTCATATTTTTTAAAACAAGCAAAATAATCTGCCTTATGAAATCTTAAGACGTCCTCCAAACCTTTGCTCCTTACCCTATGGTTTTATCTTGTGTTGCTCAGGACCCACTTACCTCTCCTCAAGGCCCTTGGTAGGAGACGTGCCCTCAGCCCCCAGCTAATTCTCATCATCTTCATGGGACACACACACACGACTGCCCGTGTTCTGACTTCTCCGTTCCTCAACTACCTCAGTTCCACCAACTACCCTCTTTGGTTCTTTACGGGCATGGTCATCACAGGACTTCAGCATTTCACAGCACTGTACTAAATACAGTCAGGTGTATTATGAAATCTGCCCAATAAACTCCTACCCTGCTTTTTGACATTTTCAGCTTATGAAGATTGAATCAGGGCACTTGGGATAGATGCAATTTTCTGTATCGATGTCAAACTAAAAAGTTAAAAAAAAGTTTATCTTTGACTCGAGGGTGTCACGCAATCTACAAAACCCGGTACTGCCACTGCATTTTTACAGCCCCCTAGCCTGTTTTTAATAAGCTATGATAGGAGGAGCAAGGCAAAAGTGCCCCAGGTGAGAACTACTGGTCTAAATTAAGAACGTGTTCTGTCGAGACAGAGAGTCCTATGGCAGCAGACCCACATTATTTACTTCGTAACAGAGTGAAGATGGTAACTAACTCCTCAGTCCAATCAACAAACAGTTCCACAGTTGACAAGAAGCTGGTGCAATTCTCTCGGGGATTTTTACTGTACAATGAACACAGAGCAAATGTTTCCATCATTCCTCTGCCAGTAGGAGAAATGTCCCCAGAAATTTTTGGTTTTGAAAACACAGTTGAGGTGGGGGGTGGGGACTGCAGATGAGCGCCCCGGCATGGGTGGGTAGAGATCAGACATGTTGCCAAACGTTCTACAATGCACTGAGCATTCCCTGGTTCCAAATGGCACTGTGCTGAGGTTAAGAAGCCCTGGCCACATTTCTCTGATTGGAAACCGTTGTATCCATCAGTTGGGATGGTCACAGAAGTACCCAAGGACCATGGAGGTTAAGCACATTTCCCAATCGGTGGCCTATACTGGCAGCATGAACAGAATAAGACGACAACGCTCTCTGCCTTCAGTCCCCCCTCCCACTCCCGGCTCTTCCCTTTGAACAAGTCCATTCTGTGAGGTTGAGTGACCTGCTACGGGGCTGACGTAAAGGTGTGTCAAGCACTGGAAGGATGCCTAGATAAGGTGACCATTGTGGTTTCTTCCAATACTAAAACTCTGACTCTTTTTTTCTCACTAGGAACTTGGGGACAGAAAAATGTCATATGCAACATGCCTTTAAAACTGAAGAGGAAGGCTCAGCACCTGTGGCTCAAGTGGCTAAGGCGCCAGCCACATATACCTAAGGTGGTGGGTTCGAATCCAGCCTGGGCCCGCCAAACAATGACGGCTACAACCAAAAAAACCCAAAAAATTACCAGGCACTGTGGCGGGCGCCTGTGATCCCAGCTACTTGGGAGGCAGAGGTGGAGGCAGGAGACTCGCTTGAGCCCAGAAGTTGGAGGTTGCTGTGAGCTATGATGCCATAGCACTCTACCCACGGGGACAGCTTGAGGCTCTGTCTCAAAAAAAAAAAAAAAAAAAAAAAGACTGAAGAAGAAAAACAGGCTGCTGGTTCTTGTACCCAAAGAAGTAATGTTTTCAGATAAAACAGAAAAACCCTTCAGAAGCCTTTCCTATTTATTAAACGTTAAAAAAAATTGGGGAGGGCTGGGTGTGGTGCTTGACGCCTATTAATGCTAGCACTTTGGGAGGCTGAGGCAGGTGGATTGCTTGAGCTCAGGAGTTAGAGACCAGCCTCAGCAATAGTGAGACCTCCTCTCTAAAAACAGCCGGGTGTTGTGTCGGGTGCCTACAGCTGCTTGGGAGGCTGAGAAGTGAAGTACTTGAGCCCAGGAGATTGAGGATGCTGTGAGCTATGACACCATAGCACTCTACTGAGGATGATAATAGCTGTCTCCAAAAAAAATTTCTACTGTTGGATCCTGTACATCCTGTAAAAACTGGATTTCCTGGCAAGAAAAAGATTGCTTTTGGCAGAGGCAGAAGGGAAGGTCGAATATCACTGCAAAAATGCATCAGTCAATGCACCCTTTGTTCCTAAGGTCGGCCCTTTTAGAAAGGACTTCCTGTTCTGAAGTCACCTTGATGAGTTTCAACAGGAAGAATCCAGAAGACTCCTGACCCCGGATGACAGCCGCTCCAGGCTGACAGGTCTCTGTGGGAAGTCTCCCTCACAGCAGAGGATCCCAAGCTTTCCTCTGTGGTTCTGCCATTCTATAGTGAGTGACCCCTTCAACTTTCATATCTCAGACGAAACAATGTTATTACAGATAGGACGTAGAGAGATATGGAATAGTTTAAAACACTGTTTCAATCTCGAGGCATTTTAATGGCTTATTTTTCCATTCAGTCTGAAGTAATTCTAGAGAGAAGGGCAGGAGTGTGCTCAGTGGCTCATCTTCAGCGCTCAAGAGATGCTCTAACACCTGCTGGTTGTTCCTTAAACTCACACCCATCTCAGGGCCGCTATGTAACACTTGTGCTGTTTCCCTTTCTAAAAAAAAAAAACCCTTCTGACCAAGCAAAATGTTTTTAAATTCTTGGTTTTTCCCTTCTGCCCTGAAGGTCCTTGGTTTACCCTCAATCCCTTCCTAAAGTGTTCTCAGCTTTGGCTGAAATAATACAAAGGAAATCAAATGAGATAAAATCAAGGAGCTAAAGTCACTGGTGTATTTCCTCTGGTGACATATCCTGATTTTTCTATTTGTATTAACAGAGGTGGAAGTCTCCTCCTTAGTGGTCTCTGAAGCCAGAGAGGAGGTTTTGGCAAGATCTCTACAGTCGTAGAAACTTAAAAAACATTTGGACAAGTTTAGGTGACTCAACACAGAGAGGGTCTACACATGATTGTGGTGAGCTGCTCTGATAAATTGGGTGTAGGTCAGATTTATGTTAGGATTTTACCTACCCTTCTCTCTTCTTCTTAGTCTTACTTTGGGGAAAAGGGAAGAAAAGGTAGTCTTTATAAAACTTTTCTTTTTTTTTTGAGACAGAGCCTCAAGCTTTCCCCCTGGGTAGAGTGCTGTGGCATCACAGCTCACGGCAACTTCCAACTCCTGGGCTCAAGCGAGTCTCCTGCCTCAGCCTCCCAAGTAGCTGGGACCACAGGCGCCCACCACAATGCCTGGCTATTTTTTTGGTTGCATCTGTCGTTGTTTGGCGGCCTGGGCTGGATTCAAACCCGCCACCTTAGGTGTAGTGGCTGGCGCCTTAGCCGCTTGAGCCACAGGCGACGAGCCCAACTTTTCTTTTTTTTAAATAAAATTCCATAATTTGCAGCTAAACGTCCTAACTTATTTAGAAAATCACAACTTATATATGGCCCAGACACTTACACACTCTTATGGCCGCCTCACTTAACAGCTGATTTAAATATATAATTATATTTTTTTCACAGTTGCTAATTCAAAAAGCAATAACCAAGAAAAGTAATGTTTTGAACCCTCCTTTTTAAATTTTAAGATTTCAATTTATAATTTATCACAACATTTCACCTGCTTTTCAGATGTTCCAGCTAATCTTAATGTAACAAGTATGATTTTAAGTGAGTCACAGTGAAGTTAGCTACAAAGACATTTCCTTTGAAAATGTTTTATTGACTCATAGAATTTCAAAGTATGGATTTAGTGATGCTAGGCTGCACTTGACTTGTTAGATCATGTTGTGAATTACGATTCCAAGTAAAATTCTGTGTATTCATGGGTAGCACCTCTTCTTTTCTTTTCTTTTTTTTTTAAACCTTGGGATAGATAAATAAATTAAAGGCCCAGAAAAGTCAACATTATCTTATTCAGTGTCAAGTCCCTGGGCTAAACCATTAAAAAAAAAAAACCAAAAACCAGTTGTTAACAAATAAAGTAGGCTTTTTCATATTTAATCTTTTTGACTCCAATTCTTTTCTACCCGGCATGTTAACAGTGATTCTCAAACTTGAATGGCATCAGAATCACCCTAATACAACACCAATTATTAAGCCCGAAATCAGTCAATGCACCCTTTGTTCCTAAGGTCGGC